TGACCTATCTTAAGTAACTTCTTGAACATAACAAGATTAGTGCCGTCATGCATGTGTTTGGGGGCTTCCAGAGGAAGGAGGCCAGTGGTGAAGGCCCTGATTCCCCCAGGTTCGGTACTTGGTCCTGGAAGGTTTGGACAGGAGGTTGCTGTCAGATGAAGTGGAAAAAGTTGGTGAGGTAGGAAGGGGTCCTGTTATGGAGGGCTTTGTGAGTGAAAGGACCTCGAGTTGAAACCGTTGTGGGGCAGATAGCCAGTGGTGGTTCTTACTTTATTATTTATCCTTGGAACCCCATTACTTGCCAACAAGGTAGCAGCTACTCTTCCTGGGGTCCCCATACAACAAAATGTACATATATAGTAGAAGATATAATATGTATAAAAAGTCTCAACGAGACCATACACAGACGGGTTTAAATCAAAAGGTCCTTCATCAACAATGATGCACAAAACTGCTTCAGAGTAGCCTGGCCTGACTTTGTGCATTCCAGTTCATCTTAATGTGTAATTTAATCTTAATCTTCTTTAAATTTTCTTTAAACAAGCAGGTATTTTGGTGAGATCATTTCACTATTTCCTGTGAAAAAGTCCTCGGTTCTTAAGAAGACTCAGATTAAATAACGTGTACAGACAAATAGTTTTTTCTCTTTCACTGCGTTTCACTTTTCGTCTCAGTTTCTCCTCCCTGTAGAAAGTATTTCACTCTTTAACACAGTCTACAGCTCTGCTCCTCGGTACAAAAGGCCTGGGTGAGGTCCAGAGCTGTGAGGGCAGTTTGTCCAACACGCTCAGTCGCTCCGCTGAAGACTCCCTCCTTCCTGCCTGTGGGGGGTTTTACCTTGGGTGGCAACAGCATGTGGAGAGCCAGGGATTAGTACAAAGGCAGGGCGCTGTTTGGTTGTATGTGTGTGTCCCAGTTTGGATCAGTTGGCATGCAGCCAGAGGTCTTTTAAATGAGTTACATTTAGCAGGCCCTTTCAGATTTGGCTGTCGCTATAGTCTAAGCTATTTAAATGAGTTACACACACGAAGCCCTTTAAAGTGAGATCCAATCCCTTTAAGAAAGTTTGACCCGCAGTTGGAAAGAGCCGATCTGTATTTGTCTTTAAATTTACTGTTTCTAATGAAGACCCCCAAATGCTGGAGCCTAAGAACTCAATATAACTCGATATAAGTCTTTCCTTGCTATCTCCTTTCTAAGTCCCACCCCTTTTTGCTCTGTGCTCCGATAACAATTGAGCAAACTGTACTTAGACATGCTATTTGCTAGGCTCGTCTATAATAACATTTTGAAGATGGTTATAAGATAAAAGCGATATACCAGTTACTTCTTAAGTTAGCTAATGTGTAACAAAACATCAATCTGCAATAATCATTAGTTTGCTAGTTACAACTGACTGACATAAAATAAAATAATAATAAAAAGAATCCAAGCTTTATTTTGTTTGTTTTGCAAACTTTAAAGCAGCAGCAATCAAGTTGTGACCACTAGGGGGCAGACAAACGTTTTTAAAAAAGCTGAAAGGCTTTCTTACAAAGACCTGGTTCTCCCAGGACAAATGGAGCTTAAGCTTTTGGACTTTTTGTTGAAGATATTTATCTCATTCACTGAGGGATGAAACAGCAGAAATGTGTTCTCAATCTGAAGAAACAATAGTACGAACCGTTCCACTGGTGTAAGACCAAAGCTACCAGTAACTTCCTCCATGTTCTTGGTTGTTGATGCTAATTATTCCAAGGTGTCAAAATTAAAATGGCAATGACATGTTGATGTTTAAAATTGCTACGAACTGCAGCTTTCAGGAAAGCTAATGACCTGAACCATCTTTGACTTCATGTTTCCATGTGGAGGAGCTAAACCACAGCCCGTCCTGTCATAACATCTGTCCATATGTGCAGCGTGGTCACATCTTGAGCCATAGCCAGACACCCTGAGAGTTTACATTATCCCCGGTCCTGTTTTCTGTCCGTCAGGAATGTGCCACTGACTCAAGAGATACGAGTGATCACGCTACACGGCTGAGGCATGACATTCAAGTACAACATTAATAATTTACAGTAATTTTACTGGTTTTCTCATCTTCTCTCTACATGGTGTATAAATAAAGCTATGTCTTTATAAATAAAATATACTCACTGATGAATAGACGGCCTCCAGAGGGTTCATTTAGCCTGTTTTGATAATTAAGGCTTAAAAACTCTTTAAAAATCTCCATTATGATAGAATCTAACCTGCCCCTGTTAGATTTTACCTGCTGCCCTATAGAAAGTATTTTTGTGTTTGCATCTAATGATCTCCAGCTTCCTGTAGGACATAAAAGGTTAAAATCTCTCACTCAACTGCAAAGAAAACAAAGAACATTTCTTCGTTATTAGATTAGTTTCCCGTGGTTAGAGACAGGAGAGATAAGGGAAAGACTGTGGATGTCTTCCACAGTGTTGGGACTGTGTGGTATGTACCTTAGGCCTCTTAAACCACCACAACGTCCCAGCAGGAGCTTATGTTGCAATGTAGTCCGTCCATATGCGGTGCTCTTGTCTATCAATAATCTGTACTTTTATTATGGGGTTGTTGATGAAAGACAGCTGTGCTCTACATTAACCTTTACCTGTGTCGGATTCACCCAATGAGGGGAAGCTTTCTTTCCTTCATAATGTGATTTTTAGATTCTTTAATAATGAGCCTAGCAAAGACTAATTGATTAATATATCATGTTAAGTCTATAAAATGTCCCTCACAATTTCTCAGAGACTGAGTTGATGTGTTCACATTGCTTGTTTTGTCCAACCAACAGTCTTAAACCCCCAAATATTCTGTTTAGTATCACAGAAGACAAAGAAAAGCAGCAAATCTTCACATTTGAGAAGCTGAAAGCAGCAAATATTTGACATTTTTGCAACAAAAAAAAAAAAGACTTGAAACAATGAAAAATAGTTTATATTTAGATTGGGTTGGTCCAACTTTCAGTGCATAAATCAATTTAAACCTTCAGGATTTCTCAGTCCTCAGTCAGTTTTCTCTGGTCTGCAGAGGTCTGGTCTCTGTTAGCTCGTGTATGTTAATATCATCTAAAGTCAACATCATCTGTGAGGTTCTGTTTTGTAAAAATTGTTCCTCCCGTTCTTTTTGTATAGCATTTATGATGTTTTCGCTGTGTGCCTCTCAGGCGTCACCTGTCAATCAAACAGTCAGCTTCCTCCCCTTCCCCTGTCTGCTCGCTGCCTCTCTTTGTTCTACTTTGATGCCTCTTTACAGCAAGCACACTGGAAGCTTTCACTTTCTTTTTTCCCCTTCATAGTACTTCATCTGTGAATAAAACCTCACTGTGATTGCCCTTCGGGGAGCCACCCAGCCATTATCCAAATGAAGAGTTTAGTTCCTAAAATGAATCACACCTAACATGTATTCAGTTCCTGACAATAAAGAAGCCAAGTCTGGTCTGTTTCCATGAGTTACATTAATGTAGTTGAACATGTGGATTTATTTTAAAGAGGCTGCACTCAAATAAAAGTAATGTAAACGATATCATTTGTAATAAGCGGAATAAAACTGTCATGTCTGTCACTGTCTGTTCATGCAAACAAAGTCAGCAGTTGTTGTTGTTTATGGCCACCAGCACGTCCCCTAAAGGTCGTTGGTGGAGTCCTGTTAGTGTTGATTAATTTGTCTTTTGGGGACTAATCTGCTGCTGTTGAGCTGCTCTCGGTGTCGGTGTAATGGGTTTACAGGTTAATAATTAACGCAACCAGCCTGAACATCACGCTGTGTGACTGCGGGTTGCCGGGTTCATGTTTAATGTCAGTATGTGTGAGGGGTTCCCTCGAGCCTCACACTGTTATCTGTTTATGACTTAAGACCTGCAGGAAGGTTTTTCAAAGATAATCTTTCTAAGTTCCTTTATTTTTATTTTTTTCATCCTAAAAGTTTTGTGTTTGTTGTAATACTCACCGAATAAAGAAAACATTTCCTGACAAAACTTTTTTTCCACCTTAGTCATAAATACAGAAGAGCATAAATATGTTTTTTTAGATCAGACTTGAAAATGGATCACCAGTAATCCTCTTTCTTCCCTCTTAGGGCTTCCGTACCTTCAGGTGCTTGACAAAGCTCACAAACACAAGGTTGTTCTGGAGAAAACACTCTTTTCTTTGCCTCCATAATCTATTGTTCCTCCTGTTCTCTGCAACACGTCTGTACACTGTTCCCATCCTCACTGCTGGACAATCAGACCAAGGTTTTCCCCTCATAGTGATCAATGTGTGATCCTCAGGCCTGTTTGTGTGCTGCTGCATGCTGGATGTCATTCACAGGCAGGAGCCAGTCGGCTCAGTGCTGCTTAACAGGTCCGCCATCTAGTGATGGAGTTTGGGAACATTTACCCTGAACATTTCCTATGATTACTGCAGCTAGATGTGTGGCCCAGTTTGTTGTCAGTGAGTTTACAACCTGCAGGCAGACACACAGCCCCACCTTCAATTAAGACCCACACACAGTTTTTAAACTGATGTCAGACATGTGTCACATTTTCTCTGCTCCAATCAAACGTCTAAAAAGCTGCTTGACAAAGACTGCGTGCAAACCAGAGCTCGAACATGAATGAATTCTAAAAGATGAAAAATGATTTTTGAAGTTATACTCTTGAACATTTATAACTTTATTTATTGCATCAGTTTATATCCTAAAACATTTGAAACACTTAATAACTGTGTTATAATACCGCTGCTAGTACTGCTACTACAAGAACTGCCACTGGTACTTTTCTATTATTGCTGTTATTACTACCAATAGTATTACTGCTCTTATGGCTACTGCTACAACATGTGCTACTATTACAGAAAACATTAATACATCTGTAATAATAATAATTATTAATCTTTCTAATTCGTCATTACTGCTGGGGGGAGATTTGCGCCTGGAGATATAAGGAGGCCAGTGCCTTGCTCACTGGCACTTTAGAAGACTATTAGTCTCACCGAATTGTGTGTTTTGTTTCCCCTCAGCGGAGAGAGCGGCGCTGGGAAAACAGAAAGCACCAAGCTGATCCTGAAGTTCCTGTCGTGCATGAGCCAGCACTCCCTGGACGTATCGTCCAGAGACAGGACGTCACACGTGGAGGAGGCGCTGCTGGAGAGCAGGTAATCATTCATGGTTCACTTCATACTTTAGATGGTAACAGTTTAATTGGCAGAGAACCCCTGTTTGTCTGATGACCCTGCATCTTCCTCACTCCACAGTCCCATCATGGAGGCCTTTGGAAACGCCAAGACCGTCTACAACAACAACTCCAGCCGCTTTGGGAAGTTTGTCCAGCTGCATTTCAGCCAGAAGGGCAACATCCAGGGAGGCAGAATCGTTGACTGTATCCTTTAAAACCCACTCAGTGTTTAGTGGACGCCACTTCGTTTCCTCTGTGTATTTCATACCCCAGGCTTAATATACAGGAAGGAAGTACTTGAAGTTGGCAGAGCTGCTTTTAAGGGTAAAGACGTGCCGAGCTGCTGCCTTCCATTCATTTTCTATGAGAATTGTGAATCCTTTATGAGGATCACAGGCCGTGATGGACGAATAATGACTGTATTATTTTGCTGCTTATTTATTATCATTAGTAAATAAACTCTAACAGTACAAAAACAAAATTTTACTGCACGACATTTTTTGTTTTTAGCATTTTTTGATGGTATCAGTCATAAAAAGCCCAATCCATTTCCAATCTGTTGTTTGCAAGTGGAAGTTAGTACATACAATAACCCTAATGTTCACCTTGGAATCCATGGCTACTCATTTTTAGTATCTTTGTATACTCAGTCCCCTTTGTCCCCCCCAGTCCGGCACCCCTGGGTCCAGTTTAACTAGCTGGAAAATTAGCGTGGCTACATTTGCTTTGTTTGAGTTGTCTGTAAAGCATCACAGAACCACTGCAGGATCCTAAAGTCTCCAACTGTTGTTTTGCCTTGACTGACGCTTTTCTGACCACAGACCTCTTAGAGAAGGTGAGTGTCCTTCCTCCTACCACATCCGCACTTACAGTTTGAGCGCCTTTAAAGTCATGCTTTTACTAAGTTAGTGCCACTTAACATTACTTGTAAAAGTGGCTCAATCAAGAATCTAGTTTGTGTCACTGAAAGATTTTTTCATCAATATTTTGGGGTTAAATGAACGTATATTCTATTACAGTGTTCACCAAGAGCAGTGTGAACTGTGATTCATAATGTAGAAACAGAGTATTAAAACCTCAGCATAACAGCCTACTCTTCTAATCTGCCAATATGTGTGATCCTAACACTCATCAGTACTTCTGGAGTTTGAAGGGAGGTAATGCAGAAGTAATGCAATACGGAAGACGTGGAATGATCACAGCGTCTATTCTCTGAAGGATGAAACTACAAATATTTGAGGATTAGAGGCTCAAAAGATATATTTTGTTTGGCGTGCCACCTTAAGACTGTGTGTGTTGATTTTGATATGAGTTGTTAACAGCAGTGTTTGTCTTTCCCTACAGAACCGAGTGGTCCGACAGAACCCGGGGGAGAGGAACTACCACATTTTCTACGCCCTGTTAGCAGGAACCAACACCCAGCAGAAAGGTCCGTCACACTCAACTCAACTTAATGCACAATGAAGAAACTTCTTGTGTTCTTTTCCACATTAGTCAAACCAAACCTACAACATGTTAAATGCAAAACATACACTGTAAAACCACAATAAGTTAATTTAAAAGATTACATCGAAAGTTTTAAGTTACCCAAACTCAATTTTGTAAGTTAAAAAGATTCTTGGTTAAGCAGCTTTTACCAGAAATTTTAAGTGACATTAATTTATTTTTGTAAGTTGAAGAAATATTCCTGATAAGGATTAATTAAATTTATTTTTAATCTGAATCTGAATCTGATGAATGATTGAATATGTGTGTGTGTTTGTGTTGTTGCAGAGGCGTTCGGGTTGACCCACGCTGACAGCTACCATTACCTGAGACAGTCTAGCTGCCACCCTGACAAGACAATCAACGACAACGGCACTTTTCAGGATGTTCTGGTACGCATTGACCTGTACATTCATATCATTCATAAAATCACTCATTCAAAGGTCCAGTGTGTAACATTGAGGAGGATCCACTAGGGAAATGGAATATTATATTGTTCTCATTAGTGTATAATCACCTGAATACAAGAATCGTTGTGTTTTTGTTACCTGAGAATGAGAGATTGAGAGTTGAGAAAACTTTAAATATTTGAGTTTTAAGTCAAAATTAAACTCTTAAGTTTTGAATTAAACTAATCATAATTAATGATAATTTATTTTTGTTCTTTAGAAGAACTTAAATCTTAAAAACAAATAATCTGTATTTTAAAAATTGTTCAGAAATCTCATTAAAGTGAAAAAAAGACAGTTTAGGAGTTTTCTCAACTTTTTACAGTAGTTTCTACAGTAGCCCAGAACGGACAAACCAAACACTGGCTGGAGAAAGGGTTGTTCTCTTGGTCACTGTAGTTTCTCCTTCGCACTTTGAAATGGAGGGTGAAACAAGTGCTCTGTTGTGATCTGCAACTACAAAGCTAGATGCCACTGAATCCTGCAGACTGGACCTTTAATGCTGAAAGTATAAATAAGTATATCTATCTATCTATACAGGCATTGATTTTGTCAAGTTTACAATGTTGTTCCATACATTCTCTCATATTAACTGCGTATCAGAGACTCTCTGAATATAATTTGTGTTCAGGTCTTTAAAGTTTATATCTTAAATAATAACCTAAACTTCTTCACAGAAATGAATAAAATGCTGAGATATGTTTTCTTACACCCCTTAAAATGGAGAGGGCCTCACAACCCCCTGGGAAGCTTTGGCAACCCTTAGTGGGGGTTCCCGACCCCCAGGTTGGGCACATATTTATTAATGTATTCATAGCCATAAATCAGAGTAAGAAACCGTTTGAATATTTGATCCTGGTGAGACTAAAAAGTGAAACCGTTGCTGCCAAACACCAAACTAACAGGCACGTCACTTCATGTCAGTCCAAACCTCCGAAATCCCCCCAAAGACTGATCAGCTGCTGGACGCAGATTTTTTCAGTCTGAGACCCAAAAGAAACAAAATCAGCGGGTGAAGAATTCAAGGCGAGTCTGCCAGAGGACGAATCTGCGGCTTAATCAGCTTCTTCTTGTGGTTCCCAGAATTCCATGCGGACGATGCAGTTCACAGAGGAGAACATCGGGGAGATCCTGCGCCTCCTGGCCGGGATCCTCCACGCAGGGAACATCGAGTTTATGACGGCCGGAGGAGCACAAGTCTCCTCCAAATCAGGTCAGAGAATTTGTCCTCGCTTTCAAAACTTTTCTTTTTACTCTCACTTTCAATCTTCAATCAACAGCATTTATTGTAGTTTCAGGTTTATTATCCTCTATTTTAACTTTTAATTTGAAATTATTCTTTAAAAAACTGACAATCATGCTCAAAATGTGTTGCTTTGAAAGACAATGACAAATTTCCATCATCCACACAGTCTATAGTTCCTTTAAAGGCTAACACTAACACGTTAGCCTTCACTGACATTCTCTCTGTGACAGCTTTGACCTTTGTGTAAACATTTGCCCCCCCCCCCAGGTTAACTTTAACGCCAGACTGAACAAATGCAAATGTGATTAATATTCAAGAGTCAGAGATCACGCTTGAATAGGTGGTGACAGCAGGTATTGATTATTGAAAAGGCGATCAGTGGTGTCATGGGCACATGTTTGCCTCCTGAGGATTTACTGGACTGAGGAGGACGCTAAAAAAACCCAAACATATATGATCAGAACATTCCTGCGTAATTGAATAAATAAATTAGATTCGAACTGAGAGCAGGATATTACTTACGTATGCTGAGCATTAAAATGAAGATTTTAGTCTCTGAAATCTCTGATGATGAGGTTTGTGTGTTTATTCACATCAGCAGCTCTCAGCCGGACATCCGACCTCCTGGGGCTGAACTCAGATCAGCTGGCTGAGGTTTTGACCCACCGGTCCATGATCCTCAGGGGCGAGGAGATCTGCACGCCGCTCACTGTGGAGCAGGTCAGTAAACTCCACGTCTGGAAACCTACAAACTGACCTCCACACTCAGCGAACACTGCCTTTATTTTCAGGCAAACACAGACATACAGGCTGTATCCTGGTTATACAAAACACCATGTTTCTACAGTAATCCAGAACGCCCAAACATTAGCTCTAGATTAAGCCTTTACCATTTTCACAAGTTTCACAGGGTCCATAGTTTCTCCCATATGCTTGGAAGGTGAGCGGTTTTGAGTTGGTTGCAATCTGCAACTTTACCACTAGATGGCATCAAATCTACACACTGGTCCTTTAATACAACTTCAATTCATTAATGAATAAAAACTGACCATGAGTGATACAGCTTAAAGGAATAGTTACACTGGTGATAAACTAAAACAAAAGCAGATACTTTGATTTATTGTTAAGTCTTTAAACTAGTGATCTTAAGACACAGTGTTGTTGTTTTTTCCCTTGCTCCCTTGCAGGCGGTGGACTCCCGAGACTCCATGGCCATGGCACTTTATTCTCAGTGTTTTAACTGGATCACCTGCAAGCTCAACAACCGCATCAGGGGCAAAGAAGACTTCAAGTCCATCAGCATCCTGGACATCTTTGGATTTGAGAACTTTGAGGTGGGTTTGAGGAAAACTTTAGCGTCATTAACCTGAGAAAATATAAACTAAAACCAAAAATTCTCATAATTAAAACTGAGAAAATAAAAACTGATATGAAGTCAGAATGTAATATTCTCTCTGGGATAAATAAGGTTTATTACATTTAACTGAATTAAATTAAATTCCAACCTCTCACGCAAGCACGCTCAATTAAACTCAACTATATGACCTTTTTTATTTCCCCTTTCTCGTGTACTTTAATCATATTTTAATTGTTAATCACTAAATCAGTAAACACACCTCTGGGATTCTTTGTTTTTCAGCTCATTAGCTCTCCGTCTGTGTTTTCTGGAGCTAATGTCTGCTTCATTTTGTTCCCCACAGGTCAACCGCTTTGAGCAGTTCAACATCAACTATGCAAATGAGAAGCTTCAGGAATATTTTAACAAGCACATTTTCTCCCTGGAGCAACTTGAATACAACAAGTAGGTGGAGGTTGTTTATCCTTTTGTTTTTCATCGTGTTACTCTGAATTTCTGAATGGAGCTTATTGCTTTATCCAAAATTATTAACCTATAACAATTCTAACTTAACGTATATGTTAGCTATTAGCTAATCTTGCCTACAAAGGTGGTAAACAACTGTAATTTTTATTTTGATGTAGGTAAAAGTTTTAGGCTGTGCAGGCGAACTGTGTAACATTTAAGTTGTAGCCTTGTGCTTTCATTTTATTCTTTAAAGGCACTAACGTTACCCAAAAAGTAATTGGAATAGCTCAAACATAAAAGACGCTAGGCTAACAGTCTGCTTTTGGGTAATTTCAGGGAAGGGTAGGTTTAAATGCTGTCCATTTCTACATGAATGCTGTTGTAAATTGTCTCTGAGCTCTGTCGTTGTTGCTCCCTGCAGGGAAGGCCTGGTTTGGGTTGACATTAACTGGATGGACAACGGAGAGTGTCTGGATCTGATCGAGAAGGTACGTTGAGAAGAGTTGGCATTTAGTGGTGAAGTGGCAGATTGCAGCTTTAATACAGCGTGTAGGAGAAACCTGCCGGTTCAATATGGCGGCCTTTGTAGAAGGAGGACTCACTTCCCCTGTAGATAAAAACGTCTCATTCTAAGGTTACAAAAACATAATGATTCCTATATTCAGGTTGATGAAAACGTACCTATGGATATTATATTCCATTTCTGCCTCCTAAATGTTACACACTGGAGCTTTAAGCCAAGAATAAAACGAGCAAAAACAGGTGTGATGATGGCAGTGGTGAGGATAAGAACAACTGAGATGATGATGATGATGATCTCGTCGTGTTTCCATAGAAACTGGGTCTCCTGGCACTGATGAATGAGGAGAGTCACTTCCCCAAAGCCACAGACGACACCTTACTGGAGAAGCTCCACAGCCAGCACTCAGTAAGACCTTTTCACCTTTCAGCACCTTTTAAACACATTTTTAACATTCGACTCGAGAGCGTCTCACCTGTAGATGCTGTCGAGTCGAATGTTAAATTAATTTGTTTAATTTGGTTTATTTATTATTTAAAATTTTTGTGAATTCATTTTAGCCTGACACACTCCGAGATGTTGCTGGCCAGCAGCCCTTTACAGTCTGGAGCAAACAGCTTGACTTGATTTAAACAACGATGTGACCCAAAGACGACTTTAGTTTGAATAAATATGAGCTCTAAATATTCTCCTGTCTGTGCTCTTAGTGAAGCTCCTCGTTAAAATGGATCATGATCAAATAAAACACCATTAATAAATCAAACCAGACACAGGCAGAGTGAAAGGGCAACTCCAGGAATCCATTCTTCCTTTTTTTGTTGGCAAAGCCTCATTTTTGATATTACAGCAGTGTTAGGAACAGATACGAGTTGATGCTGAAGTCTTCCTCTCTCTCTGTGACTGTGGTTTTGTTAGTGATGTTACAGAGGAGCAATTAAAATGTTTCCTCTCTCTTGCTGCAGAAAAACTCGTTCTATGTGAAACCACGTGTTGCTGTGCACTACTTTGGAGTCAAGCACTATGCAGGAGAGGTAAGATATCTGCGCTCTTCTTTTAGTAGCTGTGTGTGAGAATATATTGTTTAAAACATCACACATACTTCCTCTTCTCCTTCTGGTCTTTGTTTGTTACCAAATTTTATAAAGACTACTTTAAACTGATCCATTTAAGCCGAATAGCCACAAAGGACAGCTCACATCCAGCTGCTGCTCCTTTCCTTGCTTGCTGACGCCCCCTTGTGGCCTGTTGCAGGTGGTGTACGATGTGAGGGGCATGTTGGAGAAGAACAGGGACACTTTCAGAGATGACATCCTCAACCTGCTGAGGGAGAGCAGGTGGGTTGAAGCAGTTGTTTGCAGGAGTTTTGGATTAAATGCCTTGCTTGTGTGTGCACAGTGTAGATATTGTGTGTATTGTATGTTATGGTATGTATTGTATTTGGGGAGTCTTGTGACTCTGGAGATGGATTTTTTGGAGGGATCTGATTCCCTACACCACAGAAGAGACCAAGCATGTGTACGTGTTGCTTTCTACTCCCCGTGTTGGTCTGTGTCTTCAGATTGAGTCAGACTGAGAATTCAAACTGAAAACCTTTGTTCAACTCATAAGATAACTTCCCTTAAATGCCAGCTGAGCTCAATTTAAACAGCACCAGTTTAGATGAACTAGTGCATTACAATTTGAGTTTGTCATTCTCTTCTGTGCACAGTTCTGCAGCCTCGCCCGGTAAAATCTGTTAAAAATGTGCTATATCTCAGCTATATTTGCACACAAACATGTTTTTTCACTAACGTACTGTAATAACTTTAATACGATTGCTGTAAAGACTTTAATATTATATTGGTTGAAACATCAGTTGACTTAGATAATAACTGTTTTAACTGCAGTCACTGTTAGAGTATGCTGTGCTCTGCTGCATCCACGTTTGTTCTCCGCTTCATTTAATTGAATGTTTAGAGTCTATTTCCCTTTGTTTTGTCAGGTTGGACTTTGTCTACGATCTGTTTGAACATGTATTGAGCCGAAACAAACAGGACACTCTGAAGAGCAGCTCCAAGCACAGACGGCCCACCGTCAGCTCCCAGTTTAAGGTAAGTCACAAATAAACTGCGTGTTCACTGTGTTCCTCAAACACTGTCGACTGACTGCACAAACACAACAGAGATCTGATCTTTATTAAAATCACACTGAAATACACATTATTGGTTAGTTACTTCTGTCACTAGTAGTAGTTATAGAAGCATTAGCTGCAGTGCTACTGTAGTAGCGACAGAGGCATTAACACCAGTGGTAGGAGCAGTAACTATTATAGCAATACTTTTAGCAAAAGTAGAAGTATCAGTCTTAAGATTAATAGTTATTAAAGTTGTATTAGTTGCATTACTGAGCAAAATCTAGTAGTGATAGTCGTAGTAGCAGTTGTGGTAGGATGGATGAGTTATTTCAACTCAAATTGTTTGAGGAAACCTTAAACTGTTTACATTTATTACCTCCAACAATTTAAGCATGAAAAAGATATTGATTTGAGTAGAAGTAACCCAGATATTTATTGTTATGGTAACTTAATAATGGTAAATTGTACTAATTTCATTCAGTTACACTCATGCAGCATTTCTTCAGACTTGAATCTGAATTAATGCATCTTCTTTTTACAATTGTTACCACTTAAATTGAATTTACTCAAGCAAATTATTATATTACCTGTAAAAAAAAAATGTAGAATGAATCGATTACCAGAATGGTAGCCCTTTAATTTTGGGGTTTACATTTTTGTAATGACATAAAGTCAACTTAAACAAAATGAGTTAATGGAACAGATTGGAATTAAATCACCAATACTTAAAATACAGCAGTAGCTGCAGTAGTAGTCAAAGCCATAGCAGTAATAATAGTAATGCTAGTAGTAACAGAAGTGTTTGTTTTATTGCAGGATTCTTTGCACTCCCTGATGGCCACACTCAGCACTTCTAACCCATATTTCATCCGATGCATCAAACCAAATACACACAAGGTAAGTGCCTATATTCATAAAGACACACACACACACACACCGTAGTGCCTTTAGCAAACATTAGCAGGTCAGGGTGTCGGAGCACTGAAGTATCACAGTGAGTGTGTGTGTGTGTGAATCGTTTGTCATTTAGTAATCAAACAGTCCTCCCCCCACCAACCAGCCGCAGACAGGAATGAGAAGTCTACCCCTTTCGGTGGCCTTTGACCCCCGGTTGCCTAGCAACAGGCTGTAGTAGTGGAGAATGTGAGGATAATGTACACAAATCGTATACAGGAAAGACTGGTGGGATTCACCGTCTGCACCGTGATTCCCACCACTGAGAGAAGATTATCAATATTCCCAAAATATTGTGTTTAATTTATGTTTACTGAGTGATATGAAGTGATATAAATATAGCAGATCATATATATACATAAATGTACTGAGCTACAAAACTCATATAACCAAGCCCAACTCAGTTTTACTGTTTGTCATACCAATATTATATTACCAGGATATTCTCTTTTCAAGAGTCCTGGATAAAATGGCAGCACAGTTTACAGGCAATAGAAAATAACATCAGTTAAAAACAGCAACAAAAACATAACACCATATGACTATATAGTCTGGGTTAGCTAAAGTCAGAAAAAGAAGTCGCCTGAATTATAAAGTCAATGCACAAATGCTTTATGGTGCAATTCCTCTATTTACCACAAGATGGTATCTGCAATTTTTTTTACATCAGTACTTAAACTGTATTGAAGTGAATAGAAAAAAGAAACATCTTTTTCCCCACTTTATGTGGCTTCCTAAAATCCAAAAACATAGTAGTGCAGTTTTCTGTCCATATAACAAGTAAAATGGTTATCTACCACAGTGCTGGGCAGTAATATTTGGGTGTTTATCATTGCAGCATGCTTTGTGTATTCAACAGCTACACATCTGGTTTGATGGTCGAGGCGCTTGCAGGGTTCAACGTTAACAGCTTTACTTACTTGTCCGAAGACAAACAACAAAGACTCGGCTGCCATGCAAGCGAGATGCTGTTAGCTCTTGTTACGGCACTCCAGCGATGTATTTGTTTAAAATAATGAGCTGCTCAAAATGTACCATCCAGTACAGTAATAGTATCAGAAAGAGAAACCGTCTATATAAAGACAGACTGTGTTTGGCTGACTGACAGTTGTCTTATCACGCTCAGTTGTGGTGGTTGCTGCGTCCTCGCACCCCCTCAGCACCAACCAGGCTCCACTCTCTTGGTGTCAAAACATCCTCCGTAGGTGACGTCATATGTTCGCCTACATCCTGTCGTTTGAAACAAGGTTTGAAATTGGCCAAACTCCCCAGGCTACCCTTGTATTGACAAACTCGTTGGCAGGATTATTCGTACATCAGCATCCTATCGATATGTGTCTGGGCGCCTCATTAGCAACATCATTGTAAACGTCAGATGTGTCAAGTTTAAGTCGGAATACGGTCAATGTGGAATTGCTCATATTGATTGCTGATGTCAGTAGTTATTGATGGCTCCCATGCCTGGTGATCAGTGATGGTTTGCTGCCAGAGAATTTGTCCCTGCTAATTGGTTGTCTGGTGGAAACTAATTGATATTTGAAGTAGCTGACTGTGGAGGTTTTTCTGTAACCACAGAGTCTCTGGTTTTTATTCCAATGAAGGCCATCAGGGTGAAAGGTGAATTCCTCGGAATCTGTGAGCAAACGTTGTCCATTTCCTCTAAATTCCAAGCTTTTTTTATTAAAATAAAAATTGAAAGCTGCAACTTTTATAACAGTGAACATTTCAGCAAATGTAACAGAAAGTTATTTTATAAAAGTTACGTACTGCAGCGTCAAGATGTTGTAAAGCTGATTTATTCCTCCAGTACAGTTATTTTTATGTTGAATCTTAAGAAATAACCAAATTGGAGTTAAAGCATCTTATCAGCAATTGATCTGAATGATTTTAGGATTTACAACAGATTGTCATCTGCAAATGAAGGAAGATCAACTAGATTAATATCTAACATTTTCAGGGGACATAACCCTTGGGCAGGTGTATCCAGAGTTCTTTTGACAACAGTGGTTATAAACAACTTGTCCAAATCGATAGAAATAAACAGAAACTGTCCTTATTTTGACTGTGAACTGATGAGTCTCAGACTTGCAGCAGGGCTGTGGTATTAGATTGCAGGTGTTCATGTTATTTTGTCCACCCCCTGGGTCAGTTCTCTGCTGTGACGGAGTTCAACGTGGACACTGAGAGGTTTGTGACGCAGACATAACGCGTCTGTACCGTCACTCTGAGGAGGTTTGTGTTTCTGTGTCGTCTGTGGTTTTCTTGATTAATACACACAGAGGGCCCTCTGTCCTTCACTGTGTGTGTGTGTGGAGGGGGTGTGGTTCCTGTTCTTTGGACATCAGATGGTCACATAAAAAAGCACAATTAATTTAGAACATTCACAGTATCACAGTAAAAGACTATTTTACACTGTTAAATTGTTAATGAAACATACTTTGAATGTGATATTTGAAGGTCTGGTATGAACTCAGTGCTTCAAATGGTCCAGGGTAAACGGTTTGCCAAGTCCAAAACAGACTCTGGGGACACTGATTATCCATCTAGATTATCTAGTGTGATAGCTTTTAGAAACACGAGAAAGCATTTTACAGAACTGGACAGCAAAGTAAGAACTGAGCGTGGAAAATGCCACCAGATTATGTTCTTTGAGAAAACTAGCAGCAGCTTTTGATCAGGACTGTAGGTTTTCTTTACAACTTAAAAACACCAGCCCATTTCAGGCACTGGTCAAAAGTCATACATGACTATCTGACTGACTGTACATGAACTGTACTTGTATTTTGAATCAATATCAGTAGTCTGTACTGTACACAAGTATCTTCAAGTATACATGGAAAGCATAAAATAGATAGACAGACAGACAGA